TCCTTTAGGGCCCAGATTTAAAATATGGTAAATAAATTATTTTCAGTGATTGAGAGAAAGATTTTTCTATAGTTGATTTTTTTAACTGTTGTCTTTTATATCTACAAGAGTGAACAGTTCTTCTGAAACGTTACAAAGACAATGATTTGAGGATTTTTCTGATACTTTCTTTTAAACGTTACAGAAGTAATAAGAAGCAGGTTTATTTTTAATCAACATTAGAAACATGTTCATTACAAAACTGTCAAAATATTTACAAAATACTCTAAACTGATTCAGATTAGCATAAAATAAACAATGTTTTATAATTAAATGTGTGTTTCCTGCTATAAAGAAAAATCCTCCATCCATTCTGTCCTCCTTGATCCTAACCAGGGTCAGGGTGGGGGCTGGGTGGGGGCTGGAGCCTGTCCTCGCTGCCTTTGGCTGAAGGCAGGGGACACAGACCACCCACACCTAGTCACACCTAGAGTCACACATATGGTGGCAAAATAATGCCAGAACTGTCACGAGAAAAGCTGCCATACACACAGAAGAACTCCAAAAGAGATTTAAACTGAGAGCTCTGGACTCTGATCTATCTTATGCTGCACACACAGCTCTGATCACTTATTATTATCAATAATAATTTATTTTGATAAATTATTAGCTGCACTCTCTTTAACTAGAAATGTTTACGCTGTTGATCAACATTAAGCAGCACAGTGTGAACATAATGAATAAATAACATTCAGTTTGAAATGGTCGAGTCTATGTTCTTGAGAAACCCCAGCCTTCACTGCAGCTCTGCTCAGACAGACTTCACAGTAAAAACATCATTCAAAGTTCAAACGGGTCACATCTCATTAGGTTTTACATGACTGAACTGGCACGTTGATGTCTTCAATGTTTTTTACGTTATCTCAGTGTAAGTTTTATTGGGTTTTTTTAACCACAAAATGATGTCACACTCCAACTTTTGTCTAAACTTTCCCAAATTCTTGCAAACTTTTCTTACTCCTACAAAATGTCACACCTCTTAAATACATCAAAATTATGGCTTTTCTGTCTTCTGTTACCCAGCGTGCCTCACTCTGCTGAAAGAATAAGTTTTTTTTTCACAAATCACCCCCAAACTCTATAACTCCATGTATGTCCACCAGAAGTTTCAGCCACTCTTAGCTTAAATTGTGTTTTTAATACACTCAAATGACACTACTATAGTTTCCCTCCCTCTGCTCCCCAGAAACGGCTGGAATCACCATGGCTCTCTTAAACTGTTATTGAACAGGTTCTTTATTTTATCAGTCTGTCCTTACTGAACTGTTAAATCCAGAATAAGTTAGACAATTTTGTAATCATTAGAACTTTTAGATATTAGAGAAATGAATAAAACCCTCTGTAATTCAGGATTTGATGTCAAAAGGTCTTTAAAAAGCAAGAAAGAGTTACGCATTGAATCTTGTAAAACCTTTTCAAACTAAGAGTCTGGCTCAGACTGGCATACCTTGGATTATGTCAGAAGGTTTTAAATTACTGTCGTTCTACAGGAGAAAGCTGTTGTAAGTTTTAGGTATGTGCAATGACGTTCTTCAATTCCTTTTAGAAAAAGTCCTTGGATTTTACTGTGACCTGTGCTCTGGATTGACAGGACTATAAAGCCTTATCAGTCCTGCACAAAGACCTCATCACTGCGGAACCACTGGTTACATAACGGGGTCGTAAAACCAGGCAGAGGGGGGGGGGGGGGGTAAAAAGTGTCCAGAGTGCTAATTACAAGCACACTCACTGAGTAAATAAAACAGGCATTCTCTAAACTCATTAAATGAGTCAGCATGCAGCTATGGGAGAGGTCAGCTCTGCAACTGGTCTGCTCCTCTGCAGCTATGCAGATGTGCGGACAGTGTCCATACAAGGTCCTGCAGCTGTGAGTTCAGGATATGTATTTATTGTGTGGAGCCCCACGTGTGTGTGTGTGTGTGTGTGTAGAAGGGGGGGGATACACACAGTTATCAGGGAGGAAAGTATTCCACCTCCTTGTATGGTGCTCCTGCTGCTCCAAGAGGCGTTAGCGTGCGTCTTGTCAATGCAGAGGAGACGCTGTTCCTCCTCAGGGAGAAGAGACTAGCACCGAGTCACTGATGGACTCAGAAACCAGCCTATAAAAGTTAATAAAGCTTCAGGTTATTTCTCACAGGTAAACATGCTCTACGTGACAAATCAGCACGCCTGTCTTTTGACATCTTCAGAGCTGAGTGCACAATGTGGATATGAGAGCTGGCATCTGGGGCCCACGGTAGATATCTCAAAGTGGGTCAGGGCCGGCTGTGGAAATCACCCCGACAGGTCCAGGGGGCCGTCAGGCTCGCTGCAGGACGAGGAAAGTATCCAAGGCAGAGTGAAAAACTCTGCTCACCTGGCATTGGACTGTGCTGGGAAACACTACCCACAATGCCATCTGTGTGTCTGCAGATGTGTAACTCCATCTCTGCTCAGTCGGCCAACTCCTGCTGTTTGTGTCAACGGCAGAAATCCACAGATTACACCTTATTTTTAGACTCAGAGACACCGGCCTCCTGTGGCATCAACTCTAATCCCCGAGCGGTCAGACAGGTTACTCAACACACTTGCGAAACCACCACATACTGTACGTTTCCAAACAACCACAAAAGTCACACGCCCACACTGCCTGTTTTTCTTTTTAAATCCATCACACATCAGCGTGTACTCACCCTCCGAGTGGCACAGACCCGTGAACTTGCACGTCTTTCTGAAAACACCCACCGCAGACCCTCTCTCTGCACCTTCTCTCTTTCTCTCTCTCTCTCTCTCCCTCTGTCTGACTCCTGAAAACCAGCCGGGACACACAATCTCCTCTCACCCTCCCAGCTCTGCCTCTGCCTCCACCTCAGGACGTCCCAGTTGACAGGCGTTCCACAGCAGCCTGCTTCAGCACATGTTCAAAAGGTCCCTGATGGACTGGCCTGTCAGGTCTGAGGGCAGCTCCTTCAGAGGGGTTCATCACCTTCACCACCCCATGACCCCCCGCCGTGTCCCCTCCCGACGCTGTCCCTCCCATGTCTCCCTCTTCTATTGTGTGTGTGTGTGTGTGTGTGTGTGTGTGTGTGTGTGTGTGTGTGTG